CTGGCCAACAACCTCAACGCTCGGCACCCCAAAGTCCAGTGCACTCGCCACACAATGCAATGGATTCAATACGCGACGACCCAGTATGCGCCCCTCCACCTCGATGCTGACCTCCACGCATTACTACGAAAGTGTACACTCTGTCGAGAATTCGTGGGCACGAATCTAACGCGTGCACGGCATTGACTAGGCAGCGGGTCGTTCCAGCCGCTGCAAGGACCGCCACTCGTTGCCGCACTAATGGCTCTCATGCAAGGTCAACGAACCGCGTTGCAGGAACACTTGAACGAGGCACGACCGCCTTGGACGGATCGGCGCGACATCCTTTGATGCCGACGTAGTCACCGAGCACCGGGATCTCAGGGACCCCGAAGAGACACTTGGACAGGTTGGCAAAGGACCAGCGTCTCGAAGGGCCTGGAACACCTGTCAAGGTGTGACAGGTGAACCTCCACATCTGAGGAAGTCGCGGTCGCGAGACTGTGGATGTACACGTCGTCGAAATACGACGGAGCAAACTCGCGGAGCAGTCGGAGTTTCTCCGTGACGACGCGATTGAAGGTGGCAGGGGCGTAGTTCAGCTCCTGGGGCAACACCAACCACTCCCAGAGCATGTCGCTGGGGGTGGAAACGGCCGTCTTCTCGATATCTTGGACGTTAATCAGGATCTTATAGAACCCGTTCCGAAGGTCGATTGTGCTGAAGATGGCCGACTGTCCCATTGAGTCAATGATGATGTCCTTGCGTGGGATCGGCTTTTGCGCCGGAATGGTGGCCGCATTCAGCTTGTCGTAAGCATGAACGATGCGCCACTTCCCACTGCTCTTCTTCACAGAGAAGATGGGACTCGTGTGCGGGGACTTGCTTTCCCGCACGTGGCCGGCCTTCTTGCGGGCGGCGAACGCGACTTGGCCGTGGGGCAGCGGCAACTGCCGCATGACACACCACTTGGTGCCAGGTACCAGATCGATATCGTGTCGGACGCTCTTGTCATTGGGGAGACACCCCGGGACGCTGTCCGGGAGACATCTTGGAACTCGCGAACCAAGTCGAAATACGGGTTCGTTTCCAATTCCTTCCATACCGATGAGGAAGGGCGAGAGGCACTCGCTTCAACGGTGTCGTCGGTCGTCGACGGAACTATGAGGTCCAACTAATGGGCGTTCGTGATGAGTGCAATGCTGACGTTGTCAGCTCCGCGCAACGCGCGGACAAAGCTGTAGCTCATTTCCGGCGGCTTGACTATCTCAGCGGCTGTTCGTGTCACTTCGGTCAAGTCGCAGACCGAAAGAACAAAGTTCCAATTCATGGCCAATCGTGGCGGCATCGCCGATCGCGGCGGATTCCAACTCATCGCCAGTCTTGGCGACATCGCCGAACGCGGCAGATTCCGTGGCAAGCCTCGTGGCCGAAGGGGCAGGACGCGTGACAAACTGCGTCGCTGACCCATGCAAGGGAGTGAGCTCATTACTCATCACTCCCTGGTTGGACGGAGGGTTGGCCAGAGCGGCCTTGTGCATCGTCTTGGATCTCCAGTCGATCCATTGTTGGTGAGCCTCCAACCACCGCATGCCAACGATGAGATTCCATCGGTCATCCAATTCGATGACATAGAAGGGCTCAGTGGAGGCAAAGCCCTCCACGATACTGGCGAGAGCCACGACGACCTTGGGCGAGGTGACAGCTTGGCCGTCGGCCATCTTGACGCGCACAACGGAGTGCGCGGGAGCGCGCTGGACTGAATCATCGTAAATCTAGCGATTCTCTTGAATCGAAGCGCGTCGGGCAAGGTTCTCCGACGCCCCACAATCCACCAGGACGAGGAACAGGCGGTCGTATCCAGGGATACGGCTCTGAAAGACAGCATGCGAGAAGGCTGTCTTCCGATTCGACACAGTATCAATGTGTCCGAGGCAGGATCTACCGACCGGGCTATACCGCACAATCAAATGACATAACCTTGGATGCCTCAGTAGGCGCGACGCGCCCTACTGAGGACTTCCATTTTCCTGTCCGCAAGGATGCTCGCGGCTCGTGCGCGCTTCAGAATGAGCGGTAATGCGCGAAGAGCCAGCGGTAGGGAAGACGGCGACGCGCGCCGAAGGTCGAGGGAGTCGCCGAGGTTGGCGACACTCGCAGGAGAACTGGCCCGGCCGGTTGCAGCTATAGCAACGACGGTCGCTGCCAGTCGGTAGGATGGCAGACACTTTCATATCGGAAGAGTCGCGGACCTTCACCCCGCATGTCTGGGTAACCGAGAAATTTTCGGCGAAGGCGATGCGGACAGCGTCTTCGAACGTCAAAAGATACGTCCGGAACAGCTGCGTCCGCGCAGCGGTGTCGTTCAGACCATTCATGAAAATGTTCACCTTGGTGTCTTCCAATAGTGACGACTGTATCGTCACGCAGGAGGCAAGAAAGCGGAGGTCGTGGACATACTCGCGAATCAAGCACTTGCCTTGTTTCGCGGAGAGGTACTCCGCACGGAAGCGAAAGTCGCTATTGGCGGGTAGGAAAGCCGCATTGAGGTTGTCGACGAAATCGTCGAAGGATTCGATGGAGAAGTCCTCCTCATGCGTAAGGCCCCAGGCCCAGTCTTCAGCGCATCCTGTCAGATAGGATATGGCAAAGGACACGCGGATACTATCGTCATCGATATTCAAAGCATCCGCGGCATTGGTCAATTGCTGAACCCAACGCAATAGTTGCTGGGAGGGAGTACCTCCGTACTTGGGACCGGCGCTTGATTGCCGAGGCAGGTTGCGCAGATTGCGCAGCGAGGTGGGCCGTCGTGTGATGGAGAGTTTCCTCCAAGGCAAGACCTTGAGCCTTGAGCTCAGCGATTTCTTGATGCGCGGCATCACGTTCAGCCGTCACGGACTGCATGTGAGCGGCAACGTCTTGCCGAGCATTCTCACCATGACGAGCGAAGCTCTCCACCAAGTGGAGTTGCGCTGGCGGCGCCTGCGCGTTGATAAGGCTCCACGCGTCTTGTTCACCGAGGGTGGAGCACATGTGACTGATCGTCACAAGATGGGCTTCAGGGAACTGGGCAGTGGACATTGCGCGTAGGTCAATGAACGAACTAGAGTGCTACCAGGTGTAACGGGGCACAGCAGAGTAAGGTTGTGTTGAACAGAGCAAAATGTTAACTGAATTGATAGCTACCTCAAAACTCTCCATGGTGCGGTGCCTACGCACCAGTCATGCAATACGAATGGTTGCGCTGGAGGGGCTCGCAGCACCAGTAAATCAGAACCAGCAGCCAGTGGCTGGCTTGATAGGCGAGGTCTGGCACCGAGTGCCACGTGACCTACGACATCCGGATGAATATCCGGATATCCCGTTACAGAACTCGTGGGGGCTACCCGCGGTTTCAGCTTGGCGAGCATACCCTTACACATGGCAATGCCGACTCTGTCTGCGCCACAGCCGGCGGCAAGTTCACGCGAGTCATCTCGGAGGGCGCGATTGAGGTGTGGGACAACCACCCGATCACCTTATCTTCAGCACGACTGGCCCGTGATGACTCCAATTACAGCTCGACCGTGTCACTCGTCCAGCCTGGCATACTGAATCGGCCCCCGAATTCTTAACGCGTGCTGCCGAGGCCAAGGTAGATTGAACAGGGGTACCTAAAGGTGGCCGGTACGTCGATGGCGTCGCCGCACATTGTGGGTGCTGTCGAGCGAATGAAGTGTGCCTAGAACAACTTGACCTATGACAAAATCTACAGCTACCTGGCCTAGTCGACTGACCTGGAGGTGCTAAAGCCGGAGCCGGTGAACTAATTGTTCAACAGCGGGGACAGCGACCTCAATGGCAGTCGCTGCTTTGCATGCAATGTCGAAGCGTGTCTTCGGACAGTGTAAACTTGATATCGCTTTATCCATTCAACTGCAATCGCACCCACAGGGGCAAAAAGGGTAGGCCCGACGTCGGCTCTGCCGTTGAAGTAAATCCACGTGCGCGATCAAAGAAATCGAAGTTATGTGGCGACGAAAGCGGCAGAGGCAGAGTGATTTCTTGGCGGCCCTTCGTTTCATTAGGTACCTCCAACCCCGTGGAGGTCATGCGCAACTGGCATTGGGAATGGAATCACAGGCGCCGACCGCGCACTCGCCGAAGTGTGTGCCAGCGAGGAAACATAGTTCATCGGTGTCAAGCTACTGGGATGTAGGTCGCCACATTCGCAAGAAAAAGATGGAATTTCCAACATAAAGATCACAGTCCATGACATTGAACTTGACTCTGTTGGCATGATCCCATTGCAAGCTCCCGTTGTCGAGCCTCGGACGCGGGAAAATGACCAAAAATAAAGTTGGTTGGACCGTCTTGATTGTCGTGAGTTAGCCACGTCAGCTCGATACACCATGGGCGCATTCAAGAAGCCGACGACCACCCCCGTCCACACTCGCGACCAACGCGGGCCAGAAAAAATAAATATATCGTCCACGTAAGCTCATCCTTGGCCCTATACGCTGATGGGAGGGTTTGTGTCGTCGTTCTCGCCTTCGTCCACCGACACGTCATCTAGACTCTGCAAAATATACTCGACTCGCTTGGGGGGTTGGTACCCCATCACCGACGCCGGTCCGCCCAGCGTGTCGTGGACGATCTACACATCCATTCCACATGTCATACAAGATCGTTTCAAGTCAAGTACCTCGAGGCGGCGAATACGGTGCGTCGCCTCGGCACGAAATGCCATTTCCGTCAGATCACTCGATTGTCCCGATACCACACTTGGAGCCGGCACCGCGGCGCCCGCACGAAAGTACAAACTGCTTCCAGTAGCCAGCGACAACACGCCATGAAGGTTTTTCCCCACACGAAGCATGTCGCCTGTCGTACAAGGCGTGACGAGCCCGCATTTGAAGTCGGTCGATCGCCCTGAGAGCTGTTGCCGGTGGAGAGAAGTAGGTTGACGGCCCAGATGAACAAAGTGGTGCATGAGTTCATCAAAGTCCCGTGCCTTGGTCGAACTATTGGGTCGTCAGTTTGCTCGAATAGGTCCACTAGGGATTGCTGGTATCACCTCGTCGCAGAGCGAATTTCGAGTAAATGTCCAAACCGACGATTCAGCAAGTGGCCGTGGAGGATGGACCGCCACAGCATGTCAAGCTCTGTCACGTTAAAAAAATGCGCCTGCATCGTCGATCCACGAACGTCAGAATACGTGCCATGACGGCAGAGGTCGAGAGTAACGCCATGCTTTACGTACAAAGTAGCCCTGTAGATCTTCTCCCTCCATTTCAGCATGGGATCGTTTGCCGCTTCTTGCGGGAGTGCTTTCCGTGGTGTCAACCTGTGATGGTGACGCGACGAGAAGTGCCGCTTCAGCGGCGGCCTAGAAATTGCGTCATTCGATGCAAGCCACCTGGGTTGAACTCGACCTTATCTAACGAGAGCGTGTTTAAGATTGCCACTCGTTGGTGGGCCAGTTTGCTCAGCGACAGGTTCAGGAGCTCTACGAGAGGGACAGCATGCTGAGAGGTAGTGGCTCGTACCGATCATGGACTTCTTCATGACTGCGTTATCGAACGACACCCAAAAACGATGCTCTTTGTTGCCATTGATGTCGATGCTGGGTGTGACTTTGATCCTGGACGCCATCGGAGGAACTTGGAGGGCACCGAATCTGCCAATTCTGCCTTCCCCGTCGTCGCCTTCATCTCCCGAGTCATAGTACAAGTTGTCTTCGTCTTCATCCTCCTCTTCGTCTTCATCCTCATCGTCTTCCTCGTCATCTTCTTCAGTATGGGTCACGAAACTTCCGCGGGTCGTCAGACCTTCCGCAACTCCATGTGTAGGAGCTTCGGACGGGATAGTCGCTTGATTTGGAAGCGGAGAGTTCGTGTAGCTTGCATTGTCGAGGGTTTGAACAGAAAGCTGATTAGTGCTAATTTCTTCGTTGTCGGCCATCAACTCCTGCCAGTCATTTTCGCACAACCAGTCCGAGGCCTCTTCCACGTTCTCGTTGCAGATGTTCAACTAAGCACAGGCTCTCTCATACCGCCTTCAATGCCGTGAGTGTACGTACCACTCGTTGGATGACGTTCTCTGGGATGTCTGGGAATATCTGCGCAAGGACGTCCATTATGCCGTTGCCGTTGCGCTTGTCGGCCGTGGATATGAGGGAGGGCAGTTGGGGAGGTTCCAAACAATGCGTGATTCCGGATTTTATCCGGAATTGCTTACTTTTGAATTTGCGCGCGAATGAACTGGTCTGTCGCGGCAAGAGGACACGCACACCTTCATCCATGGCCCAACAACAAAGAGCCATCCTCGCCTGACAAGACACCAATTCAGGTCGACGTTTGATACGGCATGGAGTGCATTGCAGGTTCACGTGTCGATTGAAGAACGCGTTGGGATTGCCCTGCATTCCCGCATGTTGTCGACGATGACACTGCTGCTTGCTCAAGCTCAATTTCAGATAGCGATGTTGCGCGTTACCTATGCTGGGAGCAGGACCATTGTCCAACATGAAGTGTGGGCGGCATCAAGATTATCTCAAGTTCGGCTTTGCAATGTCCGAAGAAGCACTTCGCATGTACAGCCTCGTGATTTGCTCGATGTGTTCCACATGCGCAAACCGTGGTAAGCGTACATGACCACCATGTAGCAAACATTGAGTCTTGATCCATTCGCACAGATTCGTGTATGGCGCGCTGTCTTTGTCGGCCGTTACAACCTGCCAATCGACGCCGTTACAATTCCTACAATCGCATTCCCCTCCATTTGGCCGCGTGTGCACTGGAACAACATGTCTAAGGCATCCAAGAACGATGAAAGCGTCCGGGTGATGGTGCGCATTCGCCCGATGAGTACCAAGGAGAAGCAAGACGGTCGACAGGCAGTGACGGTCGCGAGTTTCGAGCGGGCAGAGGTCACCATCACCAACCCAACTGGTGCTTCGTCCGAACCGCCGAAAGCGTTCACGTTCGACGCAGCGTTTGGATCGCAATCGACACAGCAGCAAGTGTACGACACGGCCGCCACAGCGATTGTAGAAGCCGTCATGGACGGGTACAACGGCACGATCTTCGCTTACGGCCAGGTTCTCGCATCGTTGCGGTTGCACCGGCCGTCCTTCACATGATATCGTGGCGTTAGACGGGTGCCGGCAAGTCGCATACGATGGAAGGTTATCCAGATCCTCCTGACCAGCGCGGGATCATTCCAAACTCTTTCAAGCACATTTTTGACAAGGTCCCTCCTTCATACACACTCACGACTTGCGTGGCAGTTGTCACAGCGCCGTGGATGTAGGTTGCAATCACGAAAAAGAAACAAGTCCTCGTTCGCGCGTCCTACTTGGAAATTTACAACGAAGAGATCCGCGATCTCCTGTCCAAGGATCCGAAGGCGAGCCTGGACTTGAAGGAGGTACGTTGGTTGGTCGGACGACGACGTCATGCCTTTTCCTGTACTGAGTGTCCTATGTGGCGGTCTGTCTCGTAGAATGTCGACTCGGGTGTGTACGTGAAGAACTTGACAGCGCAGGTCGTCAAGGACGCCGCCGAAATTGACGCTGTTATGCAGCAGGGTTGGTCGAATTGATGTTTTTTAAAGGCTATGTATGTCTCAAACGGGTGGCGTCGTCCTGATCAGGCAAGAAGAATCGCAGCGTCGGTGCAACCATGATGAACCAGACGTCGTCACGGTCCCATTCGCTCTTCACAATCGTCGTTGAGTGCTTGTCGGAAGGAATCGACGGCAAAGACCATGTGTGCGTCGGGAAACTCAACTTGGTACATTTCCATCAAGAGTTCATAGAACGAGGCGATGGCGTATCTAAAGTGCTGAGGGGGGTATGGTGTAGGTTGATTTGGCCGGGAGTGAGCGGCAGAGCAAGACCGGCGCGACTGGAGACCGTCTTCAGGAAGCAAACAAGATCAACTTGTCATTGTCGGCGCTTGGGAATGTAATTTCTGCGCTAGTGGACGGCAAATCCAAACACATCCCGTACCGCGACTCAAAGCTCACCCGTCTGCTGCAAGACTCTCTCGGGGGCAACACCAAGACGGTCATGATTGCCAACTGCGGACCCGCCGACTACAATTATGAAGAAACCCTCACAACGCTGCGGTATGCAAGCCGCGCCAAGCAAATAAAAAATAAACCTAAGATCAACGAAGACCCGAAGGACGCAATGATCCGAGAGTTTCAGGAAGAGATTGACGCGCTCAAGGCGAAACTCGCGGCGTTTTCGAACGGTGGCGGAGTTAGTAGCGTCGGGGGAGACGGTGGCCCTGGGTTAATGCAACTGGAGCAACCTGAAGCCAAAGTTGAAGTAGTCGAGAAGGTCGTTGAGAAGGTGATTGTCGAGAAAGGCATCAGCGAAGAAGAGGCGAAAAGGATCGCGGAAAAGGCCAAGCAAGAGATTGGCGCCGCACGAAAACAGGCAGCAGAAGAGCTGAGTGCCGCCGCCAAGGACAACGCGCTGGCCGAGCACAACAAGCGCGAGATGGAACTCAAACTCGAAATGGAGCAAAAGCAGCAGGAGGAGATGGAAAAACAGCAACGCGCACTACTCCTCAAACTTCAGTCGATGGAAGCTAAGCTTCTCGTGGGTGGCGAAATCATGAACAAGGCTGCCGAGCAAGGTATAACACCATTCCTTCTCGATGAAAATCGTGTGGCGAGAAGGTAATCAATATTGCAGAGGACGAACTGCGCAAGACCAAGCTCGAACTGGAAGAGCGAAAGAGGCAAGAGCTCAAGCTGGCGCGCGAGCTCGCCGAACGCGAAGAGGCCAACTTGATGAAGGAGGAAAAGGTAGTCGACGAGCATGGTCCCGCGTGGGTGGCCGAGTTATGACGATTGGTGGCTCCATTGTAGTACCAATCCTTGCAAGAAGAAGCAGAGGCAAAAACGAAGAAGCTCAAGAAGGTATTCGGTAAAGTTAAAGAAGTCCTGGCCGAGATTAAGCAAATGGAGAAAGCGCATGGACGGGTACACATCCATGGAGTTACTATGGGATGAAGGAATTAGGTAGTGGTCACATGCGTTTGTAGGAGCGAGAAGACTTGCTCGATACGATTCGAGAGCTCACGGCACAGTTCAAGCTCAAGACGCTCGTTCTTGAATACTTTATGCCACGTGAAGCAGCCACTATCCTCGAAAACGCAGCGCATTGGGACGACGACGACGATAACTACCGCTTGGATCATTTGGAATTGTCCGGTACCGAGTGTACCAAGGCGTTCAAATTGATATGATACCCCCTTCTCACTTGTAGGAAATGCGCTTCGTCCTCGGCAACGTCCCGCTTCAGCGAGCGGCCTCCGACGGCCCGAAACTGCATCCGAGAAATCCCGCAAGGTACATATAAGATCTATTGTCACATGTGACGGATGCTAAATGCAATTACGCGCCACAGAAGTACGTTTCGACGGAAGATGACCAAGGCCCAGAGGTCGAAGTTCACATCGAGCGCAACCAATACTTGGTGTACACTTCGGACGAAGAAGGCGAGGGGTATGCCTTGGCCGAAGACCGGATCGTGAACCCGCCTGTGGCGACGAAAGAGCGACCAAAAACGTCCAAGAAGTCGTCAAAGAAGACGAAAGAGGGCAACTCGTCGTCGACGAGCAGCACCAGCGGAAGCAGTACCAAGCGACCAGAAACAGCCAAGAAGCGCGAGAAGCGCGAAAAGGCCCAGTAAAGTCTCAGCCCCACGCACGAGAACCCCCTCAGCACAACCTATCCCTTTTTCATGTACCTCCACCATAGTTTTTCGATCGAGCGTGTTTGTTAGCTGACAGCACAATGAGCCCATTGAGGAGATCGTTGCTGTAACCCCTCGATGAAATTCATGCTTCAACCATTTTCACCGATGCCGTGCGTGGCCTCGTCTTGCCAGCCCGTCGACGATGCATTGAACCGACGCGCTGTTGCACCATGCATGTGGAAGTTTTGTGCCTTGAAAATGCGCGAGACTGGGAAACTGAAAACAGTTTTCCGTTTCAATCGTTCAACGAACGGTTTGGCCATTCGAATACGCTTGACATCCATGCGAGTTCAAGCAGCGCTTCGCATCGTGGGGTTGGCGGCGGCCCTGTTCTTGTTGGTGTCGCTGACCGTCGTGGATGTGTCCTGGTGGACACGAGTCGAGTCCATGCTGGTTGTCCCGGGCCGTGGAACGTCCCATCCCAGACAACACAAACGTGACGCTTCGCACTCGTTCGTGCGGGCTGTAGTGTTGTACGTCGCCCGCACTGAAGAATCTTCGTTCCTTCCTCCCTTCCAGCGCCTCCGCCGCAGCTGGCTTGCCATGAGCTGCACTGAACCACCGTCGTGGCGTACAGATCTCGTGGTCGTCACAGACGCGCCAACCATGGTCGACGCATTGGCGGCGCTCAACTGTTCCGTTGAGCTGCGACAGAACGCTTCTCAGCCGAATATGTGTGTCGTCGTGACCGGGTACGCACGTGCGAAGGCCACCGTGGCCACTGGAATCGACCCTGGCGTGGATGCATTCCGAGTGCTCAGCTTTGTGCCAGCCACGACCTACGACTGGCTCCTCCGCACAGACGTCGACACGTTTCTTGCGCCGGGGTTCTCCACGTATCGCCCCAACGCAATGGTCGCAAGTGTGGCCGCGTACATTCAACCAAGCACCAACACAACGGCTCGCTTGGACGGCATTGCCACCGAGCTGAACTTGACCTCTCTGGCGCCCCACATCACCAACATCGGGTCCACCTGGTACGGGCCAACTCGCCTCATGCAAACATGTGCCGCCCTCACGGCAGACCTCATGGAGACGTTGTACAACGACCACTTCACCGACTTGGAGAAGTCGCCGGCGTATGGCACGACGGGGTGGCCGAACTGGCACGTCGGTGTCCTCGCTTCATATGCTGGCCACTTGGCCATCCGGAATTGCACACACTCCACAGGCGGCATTGTCTTGGCTGGCGACACTCTCAACGTTCCATCCACGTCGTTGGAACTTGCAGAGTACGTCGCCCACATTCACGCCTTGCATGACGACATCGGCTTGGTCAGCATTGCGCCAAACACAGTCTCGAACTCCACCGGCAACCACCACGTCACTGTTCGCGAGTTTACGCAGGCCATGGCATCAACGACGGAAGCCTCTACCGTTTCGCCCCCAACCATTGTGTCGCCGTTCGTGCGAGCTGCAGTTGTGTACTTGCCGTCGACGCTGCCGCGCTTTTTGCACGAGTTTCGGTGGTTTCACCGGAGCTGGCAGGCCATGCAAGCGTACGAGCCCCCGGGATGGCATACCGACATTGTTGTGGTCACAAATGGCCACGTCCCGACGCTCGACGACCTCAACTGCACGGCGACACCGCGCCAGCATGCCACCGACCCCAATCGGTGCATAGTCGACGCGACTTACACAAGCGTCAACACCCCCGAGTTTCCGTACCCTTACGCCGACTCGGTCAACGTCGTGGCCGTGACGCCGCTTGCTGCGTACGACTGGGTTCTTCGCACCGACATGGACACTTTCTTGACGCCAGCGTTTGCTACATGGAGGCCATCCATTTTTGTCGTGGGGATGGGGGGGTACAACCTCGCGGGGCTGTCGACCGACGCTCGCCTTGAAGGCATCATCGCCAAGCTCCAGTTGACGCCGAAAACGGTCGATAACGTCGGGTCCACGTGGTTTGGTCCGACCGCGCTCGTCCAGTCGTGCGCCCAGCTTTCGATGGACGTGCAGCGATACATGTACAAGCACGAGTTTACAGACGACGAAAAGAGCCCGTCGTACGGCATCAAGGGGTGGCCCCATTGGCACATTGGCGTGCTCTCAATGTACGGCGGTCACATCGCGATTAATCACTGCACGCGAGCATTCGGCGTCGTCAAGGACGCCTACAACTTGGACTTTCCCACAACGTCGCACGAGTCCCCCACGCGGCACGCGCATCTCCATACGTGGCAAGATAGCGCTCGGTTCTCCAAGTTTGCGTTTGCCGTTGGAGCGTACAAGCACGAAAACAAGTCGGCGCTCAACTTGGACGACATAAGCGACTACGCTATGTTTATGGCGCTCGATTCGCAGCCAGGGATGCATTAAACCCAGTCAAGATCGACGGGATGTGTTTCGAGTTACGATGTGAGGCTCTTCACGCGCTGGGCAAACGTCATGGAACCGAGGGTAGCCGTAGACATCCTCGACACCGGGTCGACGCAGACGGGGTAAATCCGCAGCAGCTTGTCCATCATGTCGTGGTGGTAGGACGCGCACGAGCTTGCGTCACGAAACGCCACGACTTGGGCACTCGTGAGTCGATCGTTCCGCACGACGGCTTCCGGGGACATGCCTGTGCATATGTCGGAAGCGTAAGGCACGGAGGATGGAGGGTGTACCGATGCTGTTGGCGCACTGGACGAGGTGAGGCGACGATAACACACTCGAGAGGGCAAGTTGCACGGTTCCTGCAGGACAAAGATCGAGTGCATCGTGTTGAGCGAACACGGAGGAAGAGAGCCAGCAAGAGGCGATGGCGGGCCAGACCATGACGATTATTGTGCAAGACATGGGCTGCCA